TAAGTGCCTAAATCATGATTGCATTTGAGCTGAAAACCTACAAAATGCCATGATTTTGGGCAGAAATAACCGGAATCTTCATCCAGAAATTTGGCTTAAAACCTTAACCTCAAGTCAGCGCTGGTTAGTCTAATTTCGTTAGAGCAGCCTTAATTTTTAAAGAACCAATTGCTATTGTTGTCCCTAATCCAAAGTCTGGAAAAACATGAGGCCGTATCACTTAGACATCTACCGATCGATCGATCGATCTGTTATGAGAAGCCAGGCGAGTGCCACACTTACGCTCCTCAATATGGATCAGTGGGTTCTTGAGGTGCACAAGCCGTTCACACCGCAATAAATCCGAGTCGCTTTGTGAAACTAAGGCTGATCTTGCAGTTGACATGCAAAAGTTGCGTAAAAACGACTTGAAGATAATGATATCAATTACCAAAGCGCCTAAGACCATAATTCCCCAAGACAGTCCGTCTAAATCAGCCAGTAAGTGTGTACAATAATATTCAACCAAGATGAAGATAATGATATCAATTACCAAAGCGCTTAAGACCATAATTCCCCAAGGCAGTCCGTCTGAATCAGCCAATAAGTGTGTACAACAACATTCAACCAAGGTTAGTACCAGCTGCAACTGAGCAGGGGAAAATTCCCCCTCACTAGTATGCTGATTCTATTTACCCTGATCTGTTGGAAAACATTTGAGGATTACTCGAAAAGTCCTATCGTCACACTTTTTCCAGGCGAAAGAAGACTGTCCTCCGTGAAGGACGGTTGTTTTCACGTACTTAAAGCTAGCTAAATAATAAGAGTATTTTAGTTCCCTCAAGTGGTAATGATGTTGTTTGAATTAATCTGATCATCACAAACTTTTGACAGGCGTTAAGTTCGTCAGTGGGTTTGTGGATGGCTAATTATCATCAGTGCATATCGATGATTTCTTTGAGTTTGATTATAAAGCGCTTTTAAGTTAATTGCCAAGCTTTGCGAGCAGTTTAATTCTCATCGAAAGCACTTGAGCCAGGAATGTTTCGATGGGTTATCGAATCATTCTTAGGATTAAATTGCCTGCTTGCTTTTTAAATGTGAACTAAGCACAACAGCAATATAGGTTGGGAAAGCTATCAACTCTTAGGATCATTCCCGCAATAAAAAGCGTCAGTTTTGCGTCGTACGCTAGAGTACATTCTTACCAGCTGTTTGTAATTCACATGCCGCGGCTCATTGGCACAGCTCTAAAATAAATGTGCAGAGAACCAGCTATAAGTCTGTTCATAAAATCTTGAACCAGTTTATTTCAGGCCGCAGAACTTCATAGCTCACTCTCTTTTTAATAGAGCCCGACTGCGTTCACCTTTAAAGTCGAGTACATTTAGTAGCCTTACGATTCTGTCACGATAACAGAGAGACCTAAGAATGAGTGCACAATTAAGAGAGCACAGGACTTGCCATTTTCTCTTCCACGAACAATACTGCACCGTTTCTAATTCCAGATAGTTTAAGCTTACAATAGAACATATTTGACGGTTCTCAAATTCTACTGAGCACCACTGGCGTAGCACCGTGGAAAATCAGGTTGCGCAAAGGAAAACTTTGAGTGCCCTAGGGCCATGTAAAACTAAACCATATGGATTACAAAGGGAATAGGCAAACTGTATGATAAATCAATCGCCCACGACGCAGGTTCAATAAACTATATTTTGAAGATGTAGCTTGATGTAGCTGGTTTAGGCACAGCCTGAGCAACATAATATTGTGGCTGCAAAACATTTCCTTATTTTTGAATGCTAATTGGTTGGTGGTGCTGAGCCAAAACTTCAAATCCTCAAGGTTATTATTAATTAAGCATCAATTTTGCTATTGGCCCTAGTCATGTAGTATGTTTGATCACAGAAATCCTGCATTTTCGATAAGCTGGCTTAAATAAAATTTTATCCACGTTATGCCCGGTTCTGTCAATCACTTGTTTACCTGAGTAACTTCTGTGTAACACAATCATAGTTCAGCTGGACCACCATGGCGATCAATTTTGATCTAATCTTTTTCAACTTTCCATTTCTTAGAAGCCGAACGGAGGACAACATTAAGTCTGGAAGGCTTCAACTAGGAACTTACCAAACCTTGTTGAGCATGTTGTTTTTAGAGCGCGAATTTACTGCCCGGAATGTCCCTGGTTCGGACCCGACCTCTGTATCTATGCAGAGGCAACCCTCGTGCTTTCTTCTGGTGGTATGACACTTGGGTACCGATGGGGCGTTGCTGCTCGACAATATTTTCGAACGTTTCACTGAACCTAAGTGATGTAGAACATCTGAAAGCGGTCAGAACACAAAAATATAAACTTTTGATTTCTCATTTAACCCTCGTGAAAACTCACAGCTTTCAGGTCTCCAAAAGCATGAACTGCCACTCGTGTGTATAATTGGCATTGATAGCTACATCGCTGTAAAAATTCTGATCTTAAACAGTCTCAAAGCTATGGAAACTTGTGCATCTGGAGTCTATTGCTTGGGAGAATAGCTGAAAACGATAAACGAAGGAGCCTTGTTTCAGTTAACCGCAACAGCTAAAAACTACTCATCCAGCTGTCTCCTCAAAAAATCTTGACAAAAACCATTAGCGTGCTCGTCGTAGAAATTGCTTATCTACCTCACCCTGTAACGTCGCAAGCCAAGTTTGGGGATGAGTTGGTGAATTCCACCCTGGAAAGTCGACATCGCAGATAATGCGCATACGTTTGGAATCTTTGAATTTCCTTCTGTGGGGGCACACTTTGACTTGCGTTACTCTAAGAATTCGGCCACTGTGTCCACCGCAGGCCGTAACGCAGGCCACTCAGTACCTTGTCAAATGGCCATCTCCTTCTTAATATAATAGTAAGCTTTTAAATGAATTAGCGCCCTAAAAGAAGAGCGTTAAATACCGTCAAAACATGCGTGATACTTAGCCTATTTCAAAGTGACCAAGTATGTAGGTGAGGGTGTAGATAACTCGTACTTTGTTTGTTTCATGAAAGTCTTCTTGAAACGGGTGTTGTTCAGGAGGACAGTTTGTTCCACTAAATCGGGCTTCATAGTCCGAATGCAAAGCGACGATGGCGGGCTAAGTTCATCAAACTTCCAAAAAATACATACACTCATGGCTTGTTACGTGGCACCGCCGCTTGAAAATGCACCTGAATACATTCAGAGAGGCGGGTGAAGTCAGCCGTTGATGCAAAGTTGGATGGATTATTCGAGTCAATGACTTTTGTGCAGCACCTAGCCCAAAACTAGTTTCTTGTTTTTTGTTGTGCGTTAAAACATCGGAAGATTGCTTGAGGTCAATCTAATGACCCATGGTCAGCGGCTATGCTGTATGTTTCACGTGACACGAATTATCCGGCAAAGTCACTCAGTGGCCCTATGAACTGTCTCACACTTCCAGCGATATAGAGGAGCGGCTAAACAATTTTTCGTGTTTCCACGTTTTTTTCATTTTGGTAACCATTTTTCTCTGCGAATTTGAATTTCCCCTCCTTTTTAAGCGTTGAGTATGTACTAAAGTGATGACATGATCCCAGAAAAAATGATGTTCGTCACGTCGCTTTTGTTCAAAACATGGGGGGTATTTAGACTATCTTGCAATCGACAATGCTGGGTTTCGAGACAACATTCAGCTAGTTGTCATTTTACGGCTTAAATATCCTCATGCGTTTTTACAAATAGTAATTGCCACGTAATGGACATCTAGATGTTTGTTTTATGTATGCGGTTGACGTGATTAAAAATAATGTTAGCATCTCACCACTTATGCTCTCGCTTTGATGGAATGGCTTGAAAATTTTCAATGATCAGAATCCGATTTAGCGTTCAAATAGTTCCAGAGTTTGACTTTTCCTGTGGAGGAAAAACATTGCATGCTAGTGGCGTGGAATGGAACTTTCTAGGAAACAGGCTCTGTCAGTAGAGTATCTTGGAATTATATCTTACAAGGATACTTCTTGCTCAATACGTTTCAAGGCAAACCTTGTGGGGTAATCCTTCTTATCATTCACATACAGATTATATATATAACATATACATATATAACCACAGATTTGCCTGGTTGAACTTTACTCCTTTCTCTGTTATTTTTGTGGATGCATACTCACCACCACAGACCAAGTGGGTTGCATCAAGCTAATATTTCTTATGATGACACTGAATCACTGCACTACTGTGAAGGTGTTTAAGGGACAAATCACGTTATGACTAGCTAGGCAATAAGCTGCTGGTTAGACGATTGTTGATCTGTTGATAAGGTGAGGAGTCTTGCAGAGTTTTAACAGAGATTTAGTCCTGCAACTGAACAAAAGTTCTGTTGAATCAGTGTACGGCAATTTCATTTGTATTTGAGATCATTAACAGTGCGCAACGCACGTAAGTCCACATAGTCCCGAATACTCTTGGGGTCAACAGTCAAGTTTCGTACTAAAAGTCGAAATTTCGCGAATTTGACGATTCCAGCAAGTAAGTTGCGAAAATTATACATTGTGATCCAAAAGCATTATAAATGCACAAGTGAGTTGACGCCTCAACCTTACCTGCCTCATTTAGAATTTGGAAATCATCTCAAATCCATTGCCGTAGATAGCTTAATGTATGATCTCTTCCCCTCTACCCTAACTTGAAATGGCTCACTGCTCAAGGTATGAACCTTCTGATTGGAAGATCCCTGATTCGATTCCAACATCGGCATCTCAAACGATTCTGCCTAGGTTTGGGCAACCAGGCAGTATATCCACCTCTGTGCTTTCTTCGAGTAGCACGGAAGCTGGGTACCAAAGGACGTTATAGTTGAAAGGGGTGTTTCTCCTTATCTTATGGATAAGTGTGCGGTTTGTGATCTGGAAAATCCCGCACTAAATTATTCTTTACCAATATAGTTCTTATTAGAGCTTGAAATCCAGGACTAGTACATTAACCCATGAATCATTCTAACAGAGCTATTGCAATCTATTCTCTTCCAGTTTACAATAAACTTCGATGGACCCACGAGTAAAGTATCGGAATGTCAAAGCGGTAGACTGTGAGGAAGTTCAGAAAATGACGGAATATTTTAAAAGCAAATCAAAGGCAATCGAAGAAAAGATAATAGCTTTATCCGAGGCGCGAGAACAGAAAAAGGCTGTCGACAGAGCACGCGTAATAACTAATATCTGGAAAGAGGAGTGTATTCAACTGCGAGCTGAAGAACGGGAGATTAATGGACAAATTCGGTGTCAGACTTATGGATGGATTTTAAGTGACCCTGAAACCGCGAATTTAATTCGCATTTTGGAGGAAGAAGAACGCGAATTCCAACAGAATCTTGTAAAACCTCTGTGGACTTTAAGGTGATTTTTAATAACGCCAGAGGGGATTCAATGCAGAGATGACATAAAAGTATGGATCACAAGAAAAAAAGACAATCAAACGATACCTGACTCTAGTTCAGTCCGGAAGCTCATCGAAGACATGCATAAATCTGTGACTCAATTGAAGCATGAATTAGCATTTGAAGAGAAACAGTACACTGAGGAGAGTGAGGGTACGTATTCGCATTGTCGCACTTCCCATTTGTTTCTAGCACACCGGAATGACATGAACCGATTTTCTCTGAATCCGAAAGAAATGGGTATTCCAGATGAGGCATGGGCGTGGAAGGCGCCAAACGATGAGTTCCGAGCGGAACTATTATCGGAGTATATTCAAATTGAAGCGCTGTTCTTCAACCGGCTAAGTGTCCTGCGTGAACAAGCTGAGGCAATGCTGGCAGCAAGGTTAACCTTGGTTTCCATTAACTTCTATGTCTAGTCTGAAGAAACGCGTGTTTTGTTTATGCTTTTAGTTACCTAAGAAATGTGATGTAAGATTTTTGGCACTCTGTACTTTGGAGGTCACTTTTGAAAAAAGTTAATCACATCCGGGATGTTCGTCGACCTGTTTAAGTTTCAAGTGAAGACGAACTCTCGGATTCCAAGAAACTGCCAAAATGATCATAAATTGTTTTTACGGAATGCTGTTTGGAGTACAGCAGCGCTTTTGAATCAGTAAACCGTGCCAGAAAAGAAAGATGCATGCCGGTGTTTGACCCTGGTTACGTGTATATTCACGTCTCCAGGATTGTTCACATAGCATGGGCACAGATTAACGCCACTCCAGATGAAAATTTTCACACCACTGCGTTTGGTACTTAATCTAATGACTCTAGGTGCGGTAAGCTGTGCTCCTAATAATGTCAACAACCTTGTTTCTACGTTGCTGTTCTGTTCTTTGAGACGTGGCTCCGCTCTAACAGAACCTGAAATCTGCTACCTGAGAGTTGGTGCACATGTTTTAAAAATGGGGTTAGTCTGAATTTTCAACCAAAATATCGTTATAAAAGCAGAATCGATTGTCTAAAAATCGGAGAGGTATCATGCGACATTTCCGTCTCAATGGAACATGATCAGCAATGCATACCTCGGGAAACTTCAAGAGGCTCTAACTTGGTGAATTTATGGTTGGCAGCCAAACTTGTCTCCGTTCGGGCACCATCTGATGACAGATAGCATGCGTGAGTAATGATTATGCGGTATGTGGTGACATTTGTCCTTATTCCAAGCAGTTTATATCACTTGATCTCTGTTAGCTGCCCTCGAGAAGGGTTCTCTGATGGAAGGCCTACACGCCTTGCAAGGTATTCATTTGAATGGCAGCCTAATTACAGTTTGTGGGCAGTAGAAAGATGTTGAATCTGCTGAAGAACTTTTCCAATCTGAGTGGAAAATTATGACTATTCTTTAGAGCTCATTCGTCACCTAACAACGGACGCACGGAAGCACAGACGCGGACAGAAAACGATGGTGAAACGCATCGTGCTGTGCAAACGGCGCACACCGTCTTTAATGGTACATCGTGAACACGCCACAAAATTTTTGAATACATCTATGACGAAGTCATAGATGGCGAGATTGGCAAGATATGCCCATATGAAAATTGAGCTCATGGTGATGGACGACAGAGATGAATCTCAGCTAACAAACTCACTTGTGATATTTCTTGGTTGAATACGCTGCAAAACGGTCGCCCCATATTTCGCTTGGCAAGATATTTTTGAGATATTGCAATAGATTTTATTGACAAGGCACACTAATCATAAGTTTTGTGAAAAATACTTGATGGTCAACGACAGCTATTGCTCATCATCATCATCATCATCATCATCATCATCATCATCATCATCATCATCACCAAACACAGCAACATCAGTGTTGACACTGATTCTTCACTGCCGTACAACGATGAGGTCTAATTCTGCATATCTTGAAGGGTATCTACTTCAGTAGTCACCATTTGACTACATGACGTGAGCTTGGCGGATGGATGGTGAGTTGCGCCATACTTTCTACACTTGAGAGCTAGTCACACTGTTGATCAACCGATCATAACTGAGTGGTGACGGGGCTCATAGAGTCGTGTTTTTCAGTTACCCTAGGTATTCGTGTGATGAGCACTGCTTATGATTCGCAATGGGAGTGAACTATCTATATACTGATGCTCCTCTATTCAACTTCGATTGATGTTGCTTACTGAATTAACGCTCAGTCGCAAGTGAACGACTCTCTCAGCGTCTACACATAGTCTGTTTTGTTGGTGGCATGGCAGATTGGATGAAGTGTGTCATTCATGAAATATTTGGGAGTGTTTTTCTTCAATTGTCGTGTGCCTATTTTCTGGACTTTTGGATCTTGTTGAGGAAGCTTCTTAGTACAAACGTTTTATTCCTCAATGACCAGGACCGCGGTCTCTTTTAGTCTTGGAGTTTTTATGGAAAAATGATATTTTGAAGCCAGTCAGCACGGATATCGGAGTCAGCGTGGTGGTCCAGATCGATCATTTTGAGTGTTGCCGGACGATTCTGCGACTGGTTGCAAAGCCCTTACCTTCTATGAGCGTTTCAGGAAAGTGATGTTTTTGCGCTAGTATGGGATTTCACTCTGATAAAAGCTTAGATAAAAGTACATATTTTGGCTTGACCCAAGATAACGTGCGTAATGTTATGGGTGAATTTTTTAAGTCGAAAAGTTTGCGGGTCGACGTATTCCTGAAATCATGGTGTTTACTACTGTGGTGGGCTGCGTGATAGTGCAAAATACCAAAGCTAGTCATATACTTTTGTCCTGAGTGTTTAGGCGGTTCCGTTCTACGGTAACGCTGCATTAGCTTACACCACGTCACACGACTGGTGATGCAACATGCCTCCTCCGTGAATCATGGTCCACTATGCTTAAGTCTAATTGCCGTCGGATAGTACAACTTGGAATTTTCTCAGCGACCTGCATTTCAGTATCACTGTCGAAAGGCCCTCAACGTTCCACGTGGTTGGTGGCCTGAGGATGTGGGGTTTAATACACGAATTGCACTTTTTTGGAGAATGAAATGTCAGCGTGTGATGAAGCAGGGGCACAAGGGCCAAAATAAATCGAAAACATGGTAAATTGGATCGACTGTTTGTTTTGATATCTTCTTGAGTATAAAAGAATAAAATGCACACAAAAAGCAGATAATTTAAAAATGTTATGAGTGGCTTTTATGTGTGATGTGAATAAACTATCATTTCTAATTGTGACGCATCACTCATAAGGTTGCTGAGAGATCATCGACAGCCCATGAACAGTTTTGCCCTTCTTGGAGGTCACCGGGTAGGCATACAACCCGAGTTTTCGACAACCTTATGCTGTACGTGGACCCAGTTTGTCATGTAGATGTTGACAAACACCGTCATTTGCACACAAATATGGATTTAGGTTGGAGACTCAAATGAATCCAACTGAATGGTATCTATGATGCTGAAAGAAGAAAGATGGCAAACTAAACGGGTTGATTCACATTGTTGAGGTTCCCGATACGGAACTTTGAGTGACGCATAGGTTCGACAATCCCGAATATCAAAAGGAAGAATTGGGTTCGTAATTCATTCACACACAGACACACATGTCAATACACAAGTATCGGAAAGGATGGCCTCTGCGGCAAGTTGAGTGGCGGGTAGGAATAAGCAAAACAACTGGAGATGAAAAGTACGTAGGCGGAGTAGGCAAATGAATGGGGGAATTATCATAAAGTCGAATTAGACTCAACACACATCATCTGCGATGATCATCATGTTCTCATTGATCTTTCTGAGTAAGAAGTCACAGTTTCCGATAGACTTCCTCTTTATTCAGCCGTTCCTCCACATTTATTGGTCGAAGTTCAACAACGTCAGCATAATCTGGATTACAAATATGAGTGATCCAAATATGCATGTGAGTCATTTATTCAGTGTTATCTTACAGTGTCGTGGCAAACTCAGACACCTGAATGCATCCAGTTCACAGTTGGCGTAATTTACGAATGTTTATTATTATAATGCAGGGCGTTTACGGGGCATCATTTTGGCATTTTTTTTCCTTTTGTAGTAATGAGAACGAATGGAGTGTTACAGAACTGGAGTTGGTAGACTTCTTTTGGGACATATTTCAACGCAGGGCTGGAGCAAACCGTAAGAAGATGGCAACACACTTTCTGGTAACGTTGCTCAAACATCGCTCGCCCACACAACTGGTATGTCGCTTGACGAGATCGTTGAATGCTTAGTTAACTGGCTGCTGAATGCGTGTATACCGTTCTCTACTCTTCCTCAGGAATGTCTGTTGGAACAACGTGTACGTGAAAAACAGTTGAAAGACCACGCGATGAGCATCAAACGCTCCTGGTTGAAAGCACGTGAAGATCTGTCGATCCGTATACGCGCATCTCTGATACAGGCTTGCGAGGCTGCAGAGCATTCGAGAATGGAACGACAACAGCATCAGATGCAACGCGATCTGTGTAGTTTACTCCGAGAACAGGTGAGACGTGTATCTGATTGGTGAGTTGATATGAGTTTGGATATTTTCACATAAGCCCAAAGCGCATAGTTCCTATAAGCAATTTCCTGCAACGGCGCGACAGTCCCAGAAAGAGTCCCATCCAGCGAAAATCACCGTGTGAATGCTAGGCTGAATCCCGCACAAAAACCTTTCGGAATTAAGCGCTGCTACAGCTGGAATGTCTAGCCCGCGCGTGATTGGTGAGGAGTTCGTGCTGCTTGCTGGTTCAGAACCAAGGGGAGCTCTGATTGGCCGAACGTGTGGATCCAACAGCCAATCGTTGTCCGGTATCCACCGAATGCCAGTTGACGATAGCGTTTTCAGAAGACGTTTGGAATTTCAAAAATTCATGGTCTCATACACTTTAGATTTGACGTGTTCTACGTGTGTTTTTGACCTGGTTTCCAGTGATTAACATAAGTTCTGCCCTCCTGGAACGAAACCTTTGAAAGGTTCTGACCGAGAACTGAACCGAGACTTAACCGTCATCACAATGGTGCCTTTAAATCTTCCAAAATTGTCAGTTATCGTTTGGCCTGCCTGCGGCATCATCAGCGTCAGTGAAGAAACATCAGTATTCTTAAGGAGGTTTGACTACAACCACAACGTTTGTTTAGTTATATTTAAATGTTTAAGACAAAAAGGAGAGAAAAGAGTGGGTGAAGGAAGAACCTGATGCTGACATGTCACAGACATTCTGAGGTACTGACACACTCAAGTATCCAATCAGACAACCTGGAAAGAAAATGACGACATAGAAGCCGTGAGATCGATCAGCTAAGGGTAGGTTATGGGACCCCATCTGGGAGAACAAAACCCTTTTAAAAAACCAGATCTCTTCGGAACTTTTTTCGTACTTCAATCAGACGATCTGACAGACGACTGACATCGATTAGCCGCCATTTCTTGCAACGTCTCCAGCCAAGCACAGGTGGGGTCACGGGGACCCCATCCTGGAAGTCGCACAACACCAACAACACCCAAACTCTTCGTGATCTCTGACGCCTTTCTGCCAAGTCATGTGCTGTCCACCTTGCGGTTTGTGCCATCCTGAAGGAGGCACGGAGAATAACGTCTCGGTAGACGATGTTTTGGCATACGTTGCACATGGCCCAACCATCGCAGTTGATGTTTCTGAATATTTTCTGCAAATACATCCTGCCCAACTAACTTCCTGCGTCAAAGACCATTTTCTAGATGTGTGTACATTGCAGCACCATTCCAATATTCTTCCCGGTTAATCCATTTCAACTATACGTGGGATTGCCAACACAACAAAAATGTATTCTCTGGTATTGTCTTATATGCCGAGTTGGGTGGAAAAATCCCACCAGCAAATTTAAACCCAAATGGCTCCCTTCAAAACTAATCGTCACCAGTAGGCCATCATGTACGGATAATGTAATGACGTACTTAGTCTCATGCTCCCGATATGAATGCGTTCTAGGATTTCGAAACATAATGCATCATAAATATATTTAATCTAGAACAATGCCTTTGTGACCTATTTTCTATTCAGAACTTAGCTTACAACCTACTTGGCTTACAACCTACTTCAGCATGCTGGTGTGTCAATTATCTTTTGAAAACATATGCAGTCTAAAAAACACTGTGGTATGCTTCATCACAAACTAATGCCCTGGGGATTTTTGACTTTATTTGGAGCTCATTGTTGACCTTGAACTAACTGCTGACAAAAATGACGCCTGCAGCTTCAAATATTTCCGAATTTGACAAAATCTGATCCAATGTCGTACAGGTCACGATGCCCCATTTTGGGAAAATGCCTCAGCAGTCTTTCATCCAGGAAAAGCAAGGCATATTTGGGACGGAGAACTGGGTTATAAAACTTCAGTTGTTATCAGAAGTAGACTTCTGAGTACACATTCCTATTGAAATTGTTGGAACTACACATGGTCGTTGGCTTGTTCGCTGAGCTGGCCGATTTCGATTACCGACGTTTCATCAACAGTCAAGGTGGCATAATCATTTATGAGCGTCTTGGTGCGTAGCAGTGGATTAGCGGTTGTGCATAACCGGCGAAGAATCCAACGTCTATCTAACTTATCTGAGCTACGAACATTTTCCTCCATCGGAACTACTCTTATCAAACAAAAAAACTTTTTTGAGTAGTTTCGCAGTTTGCAGTTTAATAAAACCTCAAGAAGGCTTATATAATGCAGACTGCGCATTAGAATACCACCGTGCTGATGAGTACGCATGGATTCCGTCGGACTTCTAGTTCCGGCGTGAACGACCAGATGTAGATATTTAATTAACTGTGGTTTAAGCCAAGGGCAGATCCTGTCCCCTTTCGGACTGTCACTGGATTCCAGGTACTCATTCTATCCCATCTTAGCAAGGGATGGAGGTTTTGGATGCATGATGAGTACGCATGGATTCCGTCGGACTTTTAGTTCCGGCGTGAACGATCAGATGTAGATATTTAATTAACTTTGGTTTAAGCCAAGGGCAGATCCTCTCCCCTTTCGGACTGTCACTCATTCTGTACTCATTCTATACTGTACTCATTCTATCCCATCTTAGCAAGGAATGAAAGTTTTGGATGCCCAGCAGTTTGTCGGGATACACGAAATAAGAGGTCGCAATATGTTAGGCTGGAAATAAAGAACTTGTTTGCACCGAGTCTTTGAAAATTGAGCATTCTCAAGCTTCCTCTTGAACCTCCTTGCGAGTAGAAACGAACAATGAACGAACACTGCAGGGCGGTTCTGTAAATCCCGTAGTTTCCAACTATCGGGGCTTCGACGCAGGCCAGACACTACTAGCATATGTAATCAATAATCTGCATCGCCTCACCAATATGAAACAAAATTTATGGGCTCAAGAGTCCACCTCAGAAGCCCAGCAATGTGTGATGTAACGGTTTCGCGTACCTTATTGTGAAGCCGTTTTTTTCTTCAGAGTGAGTTTAATTTAAAGGATGTCCTGTGACAACCCAATTATGTGTCTGATGGGTATAGGAGATTCATTCTCGAAAACATTTTCTTCTGTTTCCATTCGGGTGTCACTGGGCATATAGAACGAAGACTATTGCGTGATATCAATTTAAACTCAGTTTCGTTTGGAACTGGCCATAGATATAAAAACAGGTGAGAGTTGCAGACGGGCATCATTCAATCATGGGCCAATTTAAATAATCCATGCGAAATGGAGAACGGTAATGCACCGTTATCATCACGAATATACGACCGATGGTCGAGCATTCGCGCATCTACCTACTTGCTTAAAAAGGGAAACACAAGTCACCACGGTTTGAAATTTGTCTTTCAACGAAACAACCTTTTTATTACCAGTAAAGTATGGGATATCATTGCTGTAAAATACCCCCAAGTACCTTCTGTGGACGCTAAGGTCGCTCACCGGATGGTTCTCCATCGTTCACAAGCAAAATAGATGAAGGTTGAAGAATTGATTTACCTTGGGCGGGACTATTATGCGTCTGGACAAAGTTTTTTGGCGTAAACAACCGCATTCGTGAATAAGGGGGAAGCAAGTCGGTTCAGGTTAAGCGAGACGTTTCGGATGGTGCCATCGTTGGGTAGGCACACTGATTTTGTGATTCAAAATGCTTATCCCGTGTGTGGTCTTAAATGGCCCTTCTTCAAAGAAAGCCACTTTGAAAGAAGCTTCTTTCCTCGAAAGACCAAGCTAACACACCACTTTTAACCGTTATTTATTGTATAATCAGATGATATCTTTCCAAATGTCACCACTCCAGGTTTCCCATCTTTCGTTGAGTAGCTTCAATGTTTTTTTCTATTTTAATTGAGTTCTTATCGGTTAGCTTCCAGTCTGTGATTTCTTGAGAACTGGTGAAGAAATGAAAAGAAAAATCCCTTTTGATCCAAAAAATAGGTAAGCCGCTGGAGAAAGCAACGGGCTGAAATGATTGCACTGGAGGAAGAAGAACAGTCAAAGCTCCGAGAACAAGCAGAAGTTGTAGCGTCCGAAAAGAGGGCGAAGCAAGCAGCAACTCGCAAGGCAACCAAACAGAAGGTCGGTTTATTGTGTTTGCTCTACGTTCACTTCTCGCCTGCATTTCCTTGTGCATGATTACATATGAAAATATCCTGTGGTAGTTTTAACACCGATATTGACGCATAAATAATGTTAATGCAGCTGGATTTTTTTGAGAAAGCTGGTTAGCGTTTAAACTGATTTCTACTCATAATAGACCGTTTTACATTTGGCTGAGTACATTTGGCTGATCAAAGCTGCGGCTAAGAGGGACTTGAGTAAACATAGGAACGCATTCATTTCTGGTGAAAATAGCGCTATTGATCCGTATATTTCATTAATCGTGTTTTGATTGTAGAAACCTGGGTCGACGAGCAGCTATGCTAACTTGTGTTTTCGTCGAGTCAGTGACAAGTGTCTGCATTGGAAGGCCGAGAAGCTATGTGTAGCTGTTTCATTCTTATTGAGAACAATAAGTAGTCAGCTATACAGTTCTTTCCGACTGCAAAGCACAGCTTTCCTTCACTCACAGGCTGGAGAAAGCAACGGGCTGAAATGATTGCACTGGAGGAAGAAGAACAGTCAAAGCTCCGAGAACAAGCAGAAGTTGTAGCGTCCGAAAAGAGGGCGAAGCAAGCAGCAACTCGCAAGGCAACCAAACAGAAGGTCGGTTTATTGTGTTTGCTCTACGTTCACTTCTCGCCTGCATTTCCTTGTGCATGATTACATATGAAAATATCCTGTGGTAGTTTTAACACCGATATTGACGCATAAATAAAGTTAGTGCAGCTGGATTTTTTTGAGAAAGCTGGTTAGCGTTTAAACTGATTTCTACTCATAATAGACCGTTTTACATTTGGCTGAGTACATTTGGCTGATCGAGGCTGCGGCTAAGAGGGACTTGAGTAAACATAGGAACGTATTCATTTCTGGTGAAAATAGCGCTATTGATCCGTATATTTCATTAATCGTGTTTTGATTGTAGAAACCTGGGTCGACGAGCAGCTATGCTAACTTGTGTTTTCGTCGAGTCAGTGACAAGTGTCTGCACTGGAAGGCCGAGAAGCAATGTGTAGCTGTTTCATTCTTATTGAGAACAATAAGTAGTCAGCTATACAGTTCTTTCCGACTGCAAAGCACAACTTTCCTTCACTCAGGACGAAATATGCATTAGAGTTTCAAGATTTCACACTACCAACAATAGTAAGTAGCTTAAACGGAGAACGAAAAAATCACCCAATCAGTGAGAAACCGTTTCTCGAGGAGCCAGTCAGCCCGTGGGACTACGTGATTTGGATCCCGTGAGTGAAGTATGAGTGGCGCTGTATTCTACTCAAGGAAGTGCTAATCACATTGCTGTTCAGCAGCTCGTGACCAGACATTTGTATGTCCAAACTGCTAGCTAGGAGTCGCAGGTTTGCGATTCTACAGAATCTCGTGAGATGCGCATTGCTAGCGTTTCCCAATAAGGATGAAACAGGTGCACAGTTCTTATGAGCCATTCAGCANAAAGCACACTTGTTACTCAATGGGGTTGAGAAAGCAGAGAGCACGTTGCGAAAACCAGAGAACCTGGATAGGCTCACAGTTTTTTGATGTAATCATCAGAAAATCTTGTGGCTCTAGGATTATATATCAGTACTACGACGCCTGGTATGTGCTGCATCTTTAAATTAGTTGATTTCCGTTCCACGTATGATGGCGGCACTGTGTCAGCAAACGAGCACCAGTGATGTTTCACTCCTCAGCCTACAGTATGTTGCGAACGGTACAGTTCTATGGCTAAATCTGAGCCATGTTAAAAAACAGTATGAAGTGGACATATTGGCGTAACCGGTGGACCAATGAAGGACAGAATCCCGTCATCAGTTATAAGTACCAGCGGAGGTTATACGAAGAGAAACCACAGGAGATTCATCTGTGCTAAAATCGCATGTGTTCAGAGAGTTGGCCACCCTCTAAATGAGACAGGAAACAAAATAGTGGAGATGATATTCTGTTTTCTTGCACTGGTCCTTCCTGCCAAACACACCCAAAGGCAGAGATGACACGTTACTTCGTCCAGACTGTGTTTCTAGTTGACACAAGCATGGATTGCGTTTGAGTAATGACTATTGACATCTTGGAGCGTGCTTACATATAGAATGCAAGGGATATCACTTTGAGAGTATGGACGTTGCCAAACGAACAGAAAATGATGATGGAAGTATTAGCCTTTCACAAACATGAGTTCCATCAAAGTGAGCCTTTCTGTGGTAAATTACGAAGGATGATTAGTTAGAGAGCAGAGCTACGTGTTACCGATGCTCGTTTTGTCTGGTGCATCAGGAAGTATATGCTCCATATTCGGGAGTGGTTCGCTCAGTATCGAATAGGAATTATTACGTAGACTAAGTCATCCGATTTCAAGGCCAAAAACTCAAACCTCTAACTCCAGGAAGAAGGGGTGACAAACGCACCTGTGTGGAAAATGAATTAGGGTGAGTTTATATATGTTTATATGGCAGAACACACTGCTCACAAATTAGACGGAAACTATTCGACAATCCATGAAGGTTTTCCTCTTGTTTGGGCTCATCAGGTAGGCGCAGTCCTCGAATTTTTGTCAACCTTATATTCTACTTGAAACAAAATAGGATTCAATATGCCAAGTAGTCTGATTTACATACGAACTTGGTTTTGACTCAACCGGTTCTGGCCCAATCTCTCTTTTTTGAGGGTACGTTTCATCTGACTGTGCTACATCAGGCCGTCTCGTGTTTTAGTTGGTGCGATCATCGAAATATCTCAGTACATTGTCCAGAAGTGATACACTACTCGTGAGGTTGCTGAAAACTCCACGACTAGTTTCGCCTTTCTTAGGAATTGGTGCTCATAAAGAACGTAATTTTGATAGGATTTGGTTACTATGCCTACTCTACGGGAACTAAGAAGGACTAAATCGATAGCAGAAAGGAGAACCCTTCCAATGCTTAGTTGCCGTGCCATCTGGAGGAAGTACGAGAACCAAGATTGATTAGATTTTAAGATGCCGGGCTGTATATGAGCTGCCGGCACCATAATGACTGATGTATTCCGCTAACGAAGCATACCGCGATATTACGAAAACTGTAAGAACTGAAACATGGAGCGACATTGTGCAAGAGAGTCAGTTAAAGAATATCATAGACAGACGATTCAACTGAGATTAACTTGTGTCTGTCGTTTTGAACCCAACTGCAACTGAAGACAGTTAACAAAGAACGTCCAATTTGGTAGTACGCAGGACACAGGATAACAGAATTTCAGGATTGACATCTATCTGACGACCTCCAAGACTGGCCAATCCTGGTTGAAGGATTTTCATAAATTTATGGGTAGCGTTCCATCAAGAAAATATACAAGCTGAGACATGAGACGACCTGGCTACTGGTGAACAGTCATTCAGTGGTTCGCAACTTTTTAGAATCTTTACATAGGACTCAGTACTCATTAAGCCATGGACTTGGTTCTTGTATGTATGGAATATAAAGAAAGCTGTTAAATAATCACCTAATTTTGGGAAAGGACTCATCAGGCAGAGTTGCCTGGATCCGTTGAAGATGACTTTAGATGGATTCCGCACAAAAACCAATATACATGAAGCTGATGGGGTCAATCAAGGCCGATAAACTTTTTTCCGACCACTCCTAAAAGTTTAGTAGCGCTGAACCTGAATTTTTTACATCAAAATATGTTTCTCGATTTTATGGCTTATATGATTTAGCAGACGATTCCTAATCTGGATGATGCTGTTTTTTAGGTGGCTGCCTACAAAGCTGCAAAAATGGCCTCAAAAGCTCGGGAAATGGAGAAAGAAGCCAATCGACTTGCAATATTACGGGATATCCATAAAAAACAGGCCCGTATAGACACGGATCGTCTAGTACAGGCAGAGAAACAACGCCTCGCGGAGCTACACAGTCAGCGTGTTTTGGCCAAGGAACGGGTGGATCAGGAGGCCAGTCGTCGACAGTCGCGTTTAGACTGTATTGCGAAAAAGGTTGGTTTGATCAAGTCCAAAATTTCACACTTGGATTTTGTGCTGAGGTAAAGCCTACCATAAAAATCCAAGAAGTATGTCATTTTTCACAAGTAAACGGTGAAATAAATGTAAAACATATTTAATGATTATTTACCGAAGTTTACCCGATTAAGTGTGCGGCCACCTTTTCATTCATTAATCCAAATACGCCAGGCCGTTTATCAGGAAGGTTAGATTCCTGAAAGTAACCCTAGAACGCCTGGAACCTACTGAGACCCTGAAACTACACCAAAATATCAATAGAAAAGGCGTCAAGCATCTAGGTCAGTTAATCATTCAATCGATTCAGCAAAAGCCGATGAGTGTTCAGGCACGCCACAGAAGCACGACCGACTCGACTGGCACTGCCCCGAGTAATCAATACCTACATCCGACCAAGCATGGAGTACGCTATACAAGCTTGGTCACCATGGCTTCAAAAAGACATAATTCTTCTACAGCGAATATATCATCGAGCCACGAA